TCCCCCTCCTCCTTCTCCACCAGCTTCTCCCCCTCCTCCTTCTCCACTAGCTTCTCCCCTCCTCCTTCTCCACCAGCTTCTCCCCCTCCTCCTTCTCCACCAGCTTCTCCCCCTCCTCCTTCTCCACCAGCTTCTCCCCCTCCTCCTTCTCCACCAGCTTCTCCCCTCCTCCTTCTCCACCACCTTCTCCCTTCTCCCCTTCCTCCTCCACCAGCTTCTCCCTTCTCCCCTTCCTCCTTCTCCACCAGCTTCTCCCCCTCCTCCTTCTCCACCAGCTTCTCCCCTCCTCCTTCTCCACCACCTTCTCCCTTCTCCCCCACCTCCTTCTCCACCAGCTTCTTCCCTCCTCCGTCTCCACCACCTTCTCCCTTCTCCCCTTCCTTCTTCTCCCCCAGCTTTTCCCCCTCCTCCTTCTCCACCAGCTTCTCCCCTCCTCCTTCTCCACCAGCTTCTCCCCTTCCTCATTCTTCACTAGCTTTTCCCTACTCCACCTACTAGTACTTCTCTAAACTTCTTCCGCCCTTCCCCTCCCCCTCCCTACAATGCTCCTTCGCTACCCTGTACCAGAACTTGGTATTTTACACAAACCTTCAAGTGTACACAACCAATCGTAACACAAAGACGAGCTGTCATTGGTCGGGTTGGGGCGGGGCGTGGCTATCTCAGATATTTCGCACTCGTCAGGTATTTCGCGCGACACCGGGCGTTGTTTTCAAGTTAAGAATCCTTTTCGCTTAGTCATATAATTGTCGCTAAAGCTAGGCACCGTAAAGTGTATGCGCTATGGGGAACTAGAAATCTGAGAACGGACGCTTTTAGTTTGCGCCAAGATGGCGACGAGGCGTACTCACCGACCGTTCTCTGCTTACGAATTTTTTAACATAAAATAAAGGCACGTGTTCGGAGGGCCGCTGGTCATTGGTCGCGCCCTTTTCTACTGTGCTGCCACTCGTGACGTTGGGTCGTGCGCCATTCGCCACCGTAATAGTCATTCGCATTCGTAATAGCCATTCCTATGCCGCGCGCACATATAGCACTGATGCCACGGCTATTTCGAGAGGCTATTTCTAGCTCGCACTACGCGCTGGACCTTCTCGCATACTCTTCTTAGTAGCACTGTGCTATGAAACTTCGTCGTAGCGCGCTGCTATTTGCGTAGCACGCTGCTACATTGTTTCCCGTTTCCTTCAGTGGTTATTTGTGTCTATGCTTTCGCTTCTCTCTCTATCTCTC